TTGGGCCAGTGAAGCAACATCCTCCACAACTAGACTGAAGAACAAAACAACAGCAACTTGTCTGTTCCCCTTCCCCCGATTCCCCAATAAAATCTTAAAAAAAAAGAAAAGAAAAGAAAATATAAGAACATCTGTATTAGTTTGCTAGGTCTGCCATAACAAAATACCATAGCCTGGGTGGCTTAAACAACAGAAATGTATTTTTTCACAGTTATGGAGGCTAGAAATCCGAGATCAAGGTGTTGTCAGGTTTGGTTTCTTATGAGGCCTCTCTCCTTGGCTTGCAGATGGTCATCTTCTTGCTGCATTCTCACATGGCCTTTTCTCTGTATGCAGGTATCCCTGGTGTCTCTTCTTTTTATAAGGACACCAGTCCTGTTGGATTAGGATCCCACCCTTATGACCTCATTTACTCTAAATTATCTCTTTGAAGGCCCTGACTTCAAATATAGTTATATTGGGAATTAGGGCTTCAACAAATGAGTTTTGCAGGGTCACAATTCAGTCCATAACTACATCAGAGGACCAGTCTAGTGATTCCAGAGAGAACAAAAAAACGGAAGGAAGGAAATAATAAATGATTCAAGAAAGTTTTCTAGTACTCAAGATATAAGTTTCCAAACTGAAAGATCCTACCAAGTACCCAGAACAAAGTTGAAGACAGATTCACATCAAAGTACCTCACTGTGAGCTTTGAGAACATTGCAGGTAAAGAGAAGATCCCATATACTTCCAGGTTATAAAGAAACCAACATCAGAATGGCTTCAGATTGCTCAGTAGCAACATTGGAATATAGGGAGCAATGGAGTTCCCTCAATTTGATTTCCTAGGTGGTCCTATTGCAATGGACCACCTTCAAAATTATGAAGGGAAATTAATTTCAACTTAGTATTCCATACCCAGTGAACTATCAACCAAGTGTTTGAATAGAAGAAATTTCAGATATGCTAAGTCTCAAAAAAAAAAAAAAAGTCCCTCTCATGTACTCCTTTGCAGGAAGAATTTAGATATGTGATCCACTAAAATGAGGGAATAAACCAAGAAGGAGGAAATTATGAAATGCAGGACACACAATAAATATCAAATATGAAGAGAAAAGAAGAGAATCCAAAGATGATGCTGAAAGAAAGAGCCCAGGATGATAGCTATGTGTGTTAGGTATAGACAGCAACCAGTCCCAATTAGAATTGGCCAGAAATCTTTGGGAATTACTGCTTTAGAAAGATGAAATTGACAAAATTCTAGCTGCACCTGAAGCCTTGAGAGGAGATTTAAATATTAAACCTAGAGTTTGGGTGTTGAACTAATAACACATACACAGAAAACTAAGCAAATTTAAGAATCATGCCATTATTAGCTGTAGGGCAAATAAAATCTTGTATAAGAGAAGAAAGTAATTTTATTTATGCCTATGTAAATACTAAGTATTGACTTAAGAAAAAATAATATACATTGGAAATAATTACATTGGAAGAATGGGCTTTGGGGAAGGGTGCCATGTGTTGGCAATGGGAAAGGAGGAAATAGAGCTTAATCCTTAACTTCCATAGTGGGAAGTCAATATCATAAAATGGAAAAACCAAGAAGAAGCAATATAAGCATAATACCTAAAAGCATGAAAGTAAATATAAAATCATTAATATTAAGCTAAAGGAGTAGAAAGTGGTTGCATGTGAAGGGGAGAAATGGGGAGGTACATCTTTCATAACAAACCTTGTAGAACTATTTACTCTGTAAATATTGAAAATTTATAACCTTGTTAAAATTTCAAATTATTTTAAAATACAATGTGCATAATAGTCATGCATTTAATTGAAAAATATGTCTATGAGTGATATTAGTCACTCTTGATTATAATTTTTAGTAATTCCTTTTAGCAGCTTCTAAGAAAATATTTTTAAAATGAATCTGCTAAATAGTGCAAGAAATGTGCTCTTGGGGCTTTGTTATAATTAGTGCCACGTGAAGAGCTCAGTTATCATCTGGAGTATCACTCTACATTTCAAATAATATCCTGGAGTGAAACTAAGCAACATAGGAATTGAGTTTCTGTTTTAAATGATCAAATGTTGATTTCGATTTTTATTCTGTTCCCACAATAAGAATAAAAATTTGGGGAACTTGGTTCTACTAAAATAACAGATATGGGTAAGAAATAATATTTAATCAAAAACACTAAGCAAAACCTTCAACAAACATTGCTTTCCCTCTTCAGCCAACTTTGGTACTTTATGGTTGTTTTGTCCGTCATCCTGTGTTGCTGGGCTATCCTGGTACCTACCTCTTGGATATATCCCATCTGTGTATGTGAGCTGTCACTCTTCAAGTCGGCCTAACCTACCTTGACCCATTCTTCGTATACCTCTGGATATCCTGATACGAATAAACCTATAACCTTTCTGGATTTATTCATGCTAGAGTGGTCCCAGAATTTTGAAGCCTTGGGCTGTGCCTATATTGGGTCCCTCTGCTGCCCTCTCGTGGCTGGTCTGTGCACTACATTCACATAGACTTGAGACTTGACCTTTGGAATCCCAGCAGCTGTTGTACTGGAATTATGTGGGCTTTGATGAGTAAGAAAAATATTAGAATGCTCAACATGGGGAAATATACTAAAATAAACAGAAAAAGATTTAAGTTAACTGATATTTTCTGAGTATGTATCACGTTGCAGGCACTGTTTTAGGTATTTGGAATATGAGCAAAAACAAGAGTAAAAAATTTCTGCCCTCCTTCCTATTAGGACAGAGGCCCCGCATGGCATGTTAAAGATGTAACATAGTAAAGAAGGTGCCCCAGATGTGGGGGAAGGGGAAGCCCAACGATGGGTATTAGAGCCTGAGTGGAGATCATCTATTCCACGGTGTGGCAGTGTTGGGAGATTGGTTACATACAGGCAAATTAATGAAATACATTCCTATACTAAGAATACATTTTAAGGATACTAAGGACAATGGGAACCAGGTTTCTCACTGTCAGAGAAAGGAGTTAACTGTAAATGAAAAAGGAGAAAACTTTAATGAATCCTGTGGTGTGGGATTGGAATTGGAGGTATTAATGTGAATTCGATATAAATAGATAGATATAGAGATAAACATACATATATCCTCTAGCTCTGTCCATTGATGGGGATCTGTGAACAGTGACACTCTAGTGTCCAGATCTTGTTTTTTAAATACCATTAGCCACTGGGAAATCAGTGATCTTTGGAGAAATGGCTAATTCCAGGGCTGGAGCAGAAACAGAACAAGGTGTTAGAACATCTTGTGCCAGAAAACAAGAAAGTGCTGTAAGAATGATGGGGATATGTCAAAATGACTCAGAAGCTAACTTGCAAGGGCTCTACTGGCCGAATGAGGGACAATGTGAAGATCAAAATAAATGACAGTCATGGATTATAATTCATTATAATTTGAATAAAATAGGAAGGCATGGGTCTGTACTGATATAATAAATAAATAAATCTATAAATGGAAAATTTGATGAGGAACAGCCTCAAAGTACCTCAGCCCACTCCCAAATGCTTTACAGTGGAGGTAACTGCAGATATGACCTTAGTCTAAGCAATCAGAGTGAACATCATAAGTAGCAGCATATTTCAGACCTGCATGCCACCTAAGAGGGTGCAGTGAGAAGAACACAGCTTCACCTTGGCGGTATTCCTGCTGAAGACGTATAACCTAATCTAATCAAGAGCATCAGAAAAACCTTTGGACATTTTACAACATAGCCAGTGTGTGGTCTTCAAAAGTGTTAAAGTCATAAAAGTGAAGGAAAAAAACTGAAGAAATGATCCAGAGTGAAGGAAACTCAAAAAAAAAATGACAACTAAATATAACATGTTTCTGAATGAGATCTTTTTATTATGAGGAACTTATGGGGTGAATTGATGAAATTGGATGAAAGGTGATGATTAGGTATTAGGAATGTATTGATGTTAGCTTCCTGATTTGGATGATGTTTTGAGATTATTTAGGAATTACACACTGAATGATTCAGGGCCACTGGACACCATGTTGACAGTCTACTGTCAAACTATTCAGAAAAAATAAAAGGACCCTTTACTGTACTTGCAGATTTGAAGAAAGATTGAGGTTACTTCAACTGTCTTTAAAAAGTGGGGGAAAGTCTCCTTCTGGAAGTTACATTTCAGCAAGAAGAGACAAATGAAAAATTAAGTATAATATGTAGTTTATCAAATGATTATAGGCTTGAGCCCTGGGGCACTCCCACGGTTAAAAATTAAATAGCAGAGAAAGAGCAAGCCAAGGACTAAAAAAAAGCAATCAGTGAGGCAGTACATAAATGAGAAGCTAAAGAAGAAAATTTTTTCTAACAGAAGGAAGTGGTTCTTTTGTCAAATGCTGCTGAGAGATCAAATAAGAGCAGAGAACAGGTGATCGCTGGAATTGGCCCCAAGTCATGGAGGAGCAGTTTTAGCAGAGGGGGGATGGATAGCAGCCAGATTAAGGATTGAAAAGAGAATGGGAGGTGAGGATATGGCATTGGTGAGTATAGATACCTAATCCCAAAAGTGTTGCTGTAAAAGGGAGCAGAGAATGATGTAGAAGTTGGAGGGTTATGTTGGGTCAATGGAGAGCTCTTCGTGAGATGGGAAGTTACCAAGGCAGTTTGTACAATGACAGGGGTGATTTAGCAAAGAGGGAGAAACTCAGGATTCGGGAAACGCTCTGCCTAACTTGGAGTAATGACAGGGATGCAATTGAGCTTGCGTATGAAGACACAGCCATTGGCAGGAGCAGTAGCCCTTCCAGTAATAGCAGGGAAGGAAGGAAGAATGGGCCTAGGGGAAGGTGTGGCCACTGTTAACGTGACAAGGAGCAGACAATATTGTATGAGGTTGCTTCTATTCTCTCAGTGTAATATGAGGCCAGGTCATCTGAGAGTGGAGAGGGGTAGAAGGTAAGTGGTTGGGCATGCATGCTGGGGCTTTGAAGAGAGAGGAAGAGAAGTAAAATGGTAATAGTCATTTTGGAGAGTGGGGACACCAACACAGAAGCATTGCAGAGAAGTGACTAAGATGGCCAGGCAGACTTGAGGGCCCATTTAAGATCTGTGGTTGAATTTAAAGTGAGAACTGTCAGCATGCTTGTGGATTTTTTTCCCCCCAGGAATATCCAGGTGTTTGGGTACAGGTGAGGATGTAAGGAAATATTAACAATGCCAAATCATTATTTTCAAATATACAGAGGGTGCCAAAAAATGCATACACATTTGAAGAAAGGAAAAAACTTATCGGAGGTGGGGGGTTGTGGATTGGGGGAGGGGGGTTGTCACTTTATGAGGGGTGAAAAGCATAACTATTGCAACTAACACTTGAAACTAATAATAAAAAAATTTTTTTTAAAGCAAAAAAAACCCTATAAAAAATAAAAATAAATTAAAAGGGAAAAAACTGTATTAAAATTGTAATAATCTATACCAATAACAAAAGATGAATACAAGTCATGTGTATACATTTTTTTGGCACCCCCGTACATTTTTTTTCTTCAGAGATACTAGGTGGGTCTAAACAAAGAAAGACAAGGTATGAGTTGCAAAGCCTTTAATGGTAATGTTAATTTTTTACAACAAGGTAATTTCACATCAGTGGCTAATTAACATTATTTCAATACTTGCATACTCATCTGCCTCCAGATTTAGCCATAAAGTATGAATCTAAGTTAATAAAATTAAGACACAGCAACAGTTCATCTTATCCTTCTTTATATTCCTTCATGATCAGCAAGATGCATAAAAGAGTTATTTAAAGGGCTAAAATAGATTGCTATATAAATCGTGAGTTTATTTTTAAAGCCATAGAAAAGCAACATTTCGAATAAAACATTTAAAACATGTTTTCATAAAAACAAAATTCTGAATTCAGGCTGCCTCCATTTGGTATTCTGCTCCTTTGTAAAATGTATATTGCCCAACAAAGAGTGTTTGTCTTTTACTGTTTTTGGGAGTGACCAAACAGATAAAAACATCAGATGCACACACAGAGGGGATTTTGCCTAAGATCAATGTGTTTTAAGATAGTCTTATGGTACATATTTATCAAATACTGAGGAGTACTTGTATCATTCAATATGAAGTCTGGGTTATTTCTTTAAGAACTGAATGTGCTGGAGATATATTTGAAAATCAAGATTTTTAGATAAGTTTTTACCAGCGTTAGTTCTGTTAGCAAACTGAAAACAGTTGTAGGCTTAATATCAAATAATAAACACATTAGAAAACATTTAGCATCTTAGAAGAAAGACCATGTTTTGCCCCTGCTTCTGTAAAAACATTATCATTTGAAAGAATGGTCATGTGAACTTCTACTCAGCTACTATTCTCTTACGATGAAAAGGAGACAAAATGAGCTGAAGAAGGAAAATTCCAGTTACACTCCGCAGCCTCGAGTATACTGAGTGAGGTCCCGGTTTTGACAATGATTTTTCCATGCCACCCTGTAGGAAACAGTGAATGAAATGGTGATAAGATTAAAGCATATTGTCATTGTAATATACATACTTCAAATCCTTTGGGAGAACAACATATTTTATCAATACATGAAGTACAGGCTATTGATAGATGCAGGTGTTGCTATTATTAAATGGAGATATGTACACCAAATACTTCACTTCTCGAACCCAAAGCCCTTGCTAACTCATAGAATGCTGAACATAAATGTTGAATCACATGTATCCCCAGCAGCAACTTTAAAGTTCATTCTACATTTGCTTCATTCCAAAAATAACTTCAAGATATGACAAGAAACTGGTGGAGTGTGGAGAATCTTAAAAACTCTAGAAATCCCCTAAAATTAATTGAGGAGTAAAACAGAAAGACTCTGAATCAGTTAGATTGTTTCTAAGTGATGCATTGTTTAGCATAAGTCTAAAGCTGCAACTTTTAGTTCTCAGTAGCATACTTTGGTGTTTGAGAATCTATTCTCCCTTCTCTCATAAACAGTAGGGTAAAATAACTTTTCCCTTTAATGCTTAGAACATACCATGCTCTGATGCCTTGTGGATCACTGACAACCCTCTTTGCGCATGCTACGGCTTGAGTGATGTCATCTTGCAGCAAAACTGAAAAAGAGGTGGTGAGGAATGAAAACAACTTTCACAGAAATTTCATTTTAAGATTAGGTTTAGCCAGTTTTATTCTCTCAGACTGAGAAAAGGATACTAAAATCACTATATTTCCATGAGTCTGTGCATCTATGAATGGTGGAGGAAATTTTTTTTTTAATTCCATCCCATTTGGCATTAAGTAAAGCATTATTTTTCTCATTTACGAAAGTCATTGGAAGTTCTGGAATTATTAACTAATGTGATAGAAGGTTCTCTTTGTACTAGGCACTACAAAAGAAAAAAAAAAGAAGAAAGAAGAAGAGGAGAAGTAGAAGGAAGAGGCAGAGGAGGAGGAGGAGGAACCAGCCTAGCCATTTTTGAATGAGCAATTCTACTACTAGAAATTTCCCCTAAAGAAATAATAAAAATGCACTCAAAGATGTATGCATAAGGCATTTCATTGCAATTAATGAAAGAAGAAAATGGAAACAGCCTAAGTGCTTAACAGTAAGAGTTGAATCAGTAAGCTCTAGACTATTTATACAATGGAATTCAATTCATCTTTTTAAAATAATGAAGATTGGTATTTGTTGACATAGAAATAATTTTGTGTGATTAAAGAGCAAATTGCAAAGCAGTATATATAGGACAAGTTCATTTTTGTCAAAACACACATTGCTTATATGTTTATATGTGGGTACATATGTGCATGATCTAGCTTTACATTCATATACATGATTGATAATATATTCTAGAATAATGTTTACCAAAAGTTACCAGTGATCATAAATCTCTTGGTAGTAAGAATTTTTATTCAATGACCACAGGTTATTAAATAATACAAAATATTTTAAAATAAATTAACTGGATATAAAAGAATATTCCAAGACTAATCTTCTCTATTAGGGATTTTAACATTTAAAAATCTAACAATATCTTTTTTACAATACTTCACCAATATTTAATGCACTAAAGTTTCCACAGGTTATTTCTATTTTTATGTGAGTTTAATAGAACATTTGTTTCACCCCAATTAAACAAATCCATTAATTAACTTGTTAGATATGACAGTGATTATATAGGAACTGTATTTTTTGGAGATGCAAACTAAATAGAAATGAAAAGCCATAATGTTTCTAATTCACTATTAAATCACTCAGCAAAAAATATACATACACATATATACATAAAATAAACAAATATGACAAAATGTTAACAACTGTTAAAGGGTGTGATAGGCTGTTTATTATACTGTCTCTAATTTTCTGTATATTTAGGATATTTCATAATAAAAAGTAAAAATAATTTTTAAAAAGGACCACATGACCAAATTATCCCTAAACCTTGAATAAGTGTGGGGAGTGACATTGTTCCTGACAAAGCCACTTACAATAAATTAATAGGTCATTCCAGAACTTTTGTATATTAGAAAACAGCAAACTTTTGTGATACCAGCTCCTTAATTTCTTACTTAGGAAATTACCAGGAAGATAATAAAGAGTTTCTAGAAGTTGAATAGAGTTTTTCTAGGTCCCTGATGAACCCCTCAAGACTTTTTCATTTGTATTGAATTCTTGTAAGTATAACCAGATGGGCCCTGTGTCATCACTCAAAGTTATTTTGTCTTACCGTTGCAGGATATATGGCAGGCGTTAACTGCTTTTGGGGTTTTGCCATCGTTACACCAGTAGCGGCTATTGATCTGAAATATCCCATAATCAGTGCTTTTGCTTCCAGGATTGTAGTTTGTAGCTTGTGTGTTATAGCTACTTTCCCATTGGGCCAAACACACCCCTGAAAAGAACATATTTTTAATAACAAATAGCAACATCACATGACTTATACTGCATTCCATAATCAGTTCTATTTAGCCAATTCTGTGATACTATGACTCACTTTGTAAGTATAAAGATATATTTTACTTGTAAAATATTTTAACACTTTCATGTTAAAGGGTCCTTAAGAGAATTGTTTGGTTAGCAAATCATTTGTAATACTAATGAAGCAAGGTAACATACTTTTTAATATTTAAAATATTAAAATAGCTGTTTCTTTCATTGCTAATATCCCTCCCTTGCTCCTATCCCTCAGGCAAGATTCAGCCTAGAACAGAAAAAAACACAGGTTTTGAGTGGATTTTTTAATTAATAGTAGATACATACGCTGATGGGAAAAGGCTTTTTATTAGGAAAAATAAGGATTTTCTTGGAGAAAGACATTTTCTTATGAGACCTAAAAGTGAATTTGTGTATCAAATTAGAATCTGGAAACAAGAGCTATAGAAGAGGAAAGACTAATATATCCATCCATTCATGTATCCATCCAACCATTCACTAGTTCATTCAAAAATAGTTATTTAGGGGAAAGGTTTGAATTTAATCTGGAAAATGGTGATTACACTGAGAAATAGGGACTAAAAATAAAGTAACTTTTACACAGGGCACATCTTGGATTGTGTGGAAGAAAATGAAAACAGCTAATGAACTAAAGTGAGTAAGAACAATAAAATGTCATTTCATGCTGCATTTCAGGGATCTTTACATAAACAGTGATTGAGGAAGACATAGGTTCCTACTGTCCCTGTATTGAGATTTCAACATAGTTAAAAAAAACAAAACAAAACAAAAAACCTCTATTAGAAACCCCACACCATGCAGGGAAATTTAAAAAGAGAAAAATACTGCATTGCTCTAGGCTCGCAGAACCCAAGTTCCAAATGGGAAATGGCTGGAGTCAAGCACCAAAGATTTGACACAGACATCCCAGGCGCTCAAATGTATTAGTCAGCCTGCATGTGCCACTGAGTCTGCGGCAACTGGCACATTCAGCAGCGCTAGAAAGAGTACAATGGGTCCTGGTGTATTTAGCATGGCATAGAATTTGTGGTACCATGCCCCCATTCTTTCATCTGGTATATCTGATTCTAAAGGAACAAGTTGACGTGCTTAACCATTTTAAGTATATAAACCCTCAAGTCAATCAATGAATGAATAAATAAATAAGTCCATTCACTCAGAGCCCCTTTCTTATTATTATTCATCCTCTATCAGTATCTGTTCCACCCCTGGCCGACTGTTTGGAAGCATGAAAAAGAGTTAACTTACAGTTTGGCAGGCTGATTCCCTTGAAGCCGTCCATTCCCATTCTTTTCAGAGCTCTGGCAAGCTCACACCTTTCAAAGACCTTGCCCTGGACGGTGGCAGCAAGGAGGAGAAGCCCCAGAATAAGGAGAGACTTCATGTTGAATGAGTAGCCAGACCACTCGGCTGACCAGGGTTGGGTGGCTCCAGTATTTAACGGCTTTCAACTTCCTTCTTCTCCATGTGGTTTAAAGGCTCCACCCTTGGAGATATGTGGACACAGGAACTGTTTTTTGGCTCACTGACTACAAAAGGTCTTTTTATGTATGAAAAGAGATGCTGATGTCCCAAGACTCAACTTATAGGAAAATGATGAAATTACATTGTTTAAAAGATCTGCCTCAGGAAGAACTGAGATTAGCACTGTGTCCAAACAGGAACGTTCTCCTGTATTATTATGAAATTTAGCAACTATACACAACAGCAAAAATCAAATGAACATTTTACACAACAGAAAATGAGCTCTGAGCTTTGATTAACATTCATTTTCATTCACTTGTTTTGTGTGTACTCACTATGTTGTCTTCACTTTTTTCACTTAAAATTATTTTATTTACACTTTCCATGAAATAACATGACACATTGTCTGTCATTTTAATAGGTATATAGCACTTTATAATCAAACCTTCAAGAAGAGTAGCAGAATATGCTACCCGAAAATCTGTCCCTTTGCCATAAGGGTAATTTTGAGCTGAAGGCAATTGGGGAGAAGCAGAACCATGAAAAGCTCTCTGGAAGCAGAACATAAATTCGTGCAGAAGTTAATCACCTCCAATCCTAGATACTTATCAGCCCTGAGCCGGCACCAGAGGACTCTACATAAAAAGTTTTACTGACTAGCTGTTACCTTCCTTTAGTCCCCCACACATTTAGCTTCCCACAGCTCGCTGCCCTTGGACTCCTGGGACTCTTTTCTTCTGTCTTGTCATTCCTCTAAAAACGTATTTTTCTTGGTTAAGATGCTAGGTAAGCCCAAATTTTAGCCACCTCTTCGAGTTACTCCTCCCTGCATTTCTCACAAGTATATAGGAGATGTGCATGTAAATAAATGTGTTTGTGCTTCTCTTGTTAATCTGTCTTTTCTTATAGCGCCCTCGCTGAAAACTTAAAAGAGTACAAGAGAAAATATTTTTTTCCTCCTGTACAGTTTCTGGCAATAAGCATGGGACAGTAAAAGGCTAGAACCCTTCACTCTCCCTAGAGACTGCAGGTGAGATATGGGATAACTGACAACAGGTCAGCAGGAGGTAAGAATTCTTACCTGTCTCCCCATCTGACTGCAGTACCCAGTCAAGAGAGGAGGATAAAAATTTCTCCGTGTCCTTTCCAAATTCATAATGGCAGGAGAAAAACATTTTTAAAAATGGATCTTGAATCACGACTCTTGTAAATTAGATTTGGGGTACCCACAGGTTATTGATTCTGTGCCTCTCAGAAAGTCATGTTTCCCTTTGTCTCTGTCTTTTGTGTCATTTATCATACAGATGAAAATCATAAGATGAGAATTTTCATTTGGCTTATTTTATGTACCAAAATCTTGGCTTTGTGGGCTGAGTGGCTCAGTTGATTAGAACACGAGCTCTGAGCAACAGCATCACCGGTTCAATTCCCACATGGGCCAGGGAGCTGCGCCCGAGCTGAGCTACTGCTGAGCTGCTAACAGGTGGCCGGATGGCTCAGCTGGTGAGAGCACGTGCTCTTAACAACAGGGTTGCCGGTTTGACTCCCACATGGGATGGTGGGCTGGGCCAGCCTCCTACCCCCACCCCCAGCAACTAAGATTGAAGGACAACAACTTGATTTGGAGCTGATGGGTCCTGGAAAAAAACAACGTTCCCCTTCCCCAATTCCCCAACACTGTTCCCTTCCCCAATTCCCCAATGAAATCTTTAAAACAAACAAACAAAAAAACTTGGCTTTGTAACCAGCAAGAATATTCTCTCTGGTTTCTGCCACTTGAGGAGGGTGGGTAATGCGGGTTGTCAGGCATGTGTCAAGGCAGCTAGCCAGCTGGCTAGGAGTCTAAGACATGTAGTGACAAGCAGCATCCTGCTTGTCCAACTGTGCCAGCTTTCAGAGGAGTTTGTCTTAATAAGGAGTCCCAGTATATAAAGGGCCTTTGTCATCTGTACCTTCATTGCCTTGTTTGTGCTGGAAAAATCCCTATCCCAAAATCACCTTACTGGTAACCAGATTAATGGATTTGTGACTTAAGGTGTTTTACTTTGTGGGACATAGAAGTTTCCTTACCTGTGACAATGAAGGTCTGCTTTCTTAGGTTCTCTTAGGAGTGGCTCCCCATCTTGAGAAGGCTGCATCTTTTGCATGTTCTTTGGGGACAGCTCTTGTGTCCATGGTTAAGCCATAAAAAAGGCTTATTGGCTTGGAGTCACAATGGAAATAGGAATACCTTTGAAGATCTGGACAGCTAAAAATCACATCTAAAAATATTATTAAGAGAGCTCTTATTCTAAACAAATGTCCTATTGGTATCTATGGGAAGATCAGATTAAAGAAGGAAAGAAGAAAGGAAGGAAGGGGGAAAAGATACAGAAGAATGCCTTGGCTATTGGGAAAAAACAAAACAACACTTCCTTAACAAGATTAGTAGGTGAAGATAAGGCTTAAAATAAATGTAAAAAAACTACAAATGATAATGAAGCAGGTGTAAAACTTATGTAAATACTGATAGTTAGGAAATAGCTTTGACAAAGGCCCCCCAAAATGCACAGAAAGGCTTGATTTATTGTCCCTTACTCTATAAGCAGATTCCACAAGATCCAGGACTTACTATATTTTGGGCCTCCACTAGGAAAAAAAAAAATTCATTGGACACATACCCTTAAAGAAAAGAAAAACTTAAATATTTATTACCCTAGATTTCTGATAACAGGCAAATATTCCCATGAGTTCCTTCTTAGATAAAACCTACTTCCCTTTTCAGCTCCTTGGAAATAGTAATCTTACCACCTCTTTGAAATGTAAGCATCCAAGGAGATAATTGTTGGCTAAAGCAACCCCTGAGACTGAGGGTGGCGGGGGAAGAAAAAAGATTTTTAAAAAACAAACAGCTACTTTTTTCATAAGCTCCCTTGACCAAAATTTAGTACATAGCCTCCATAAGATTATCTATTAAAGACAAAAATTTTCAAAGTCTTCTCCACGAACATTGGTAAAAAGCTTTAGTCATCTGAGTGGGTACCTTAGCTTGTGCCATCTGCCAGAAACACCTCTAGCTCCAACTATCATTTTATAAGCTAGTGAGTTTTGTATTATTGTGGCTAACTTTTAAAATGAAAGCTATAAGGACTCTGTTTGCATCTGTCTGTATTTTTATGCATGTCTATGTACTGGTATGTACATTATGTATATGTGATATTTTTCTCCCTCCAGATGGTATTTCTAAAAACTAACTTATACAAGAGCTCTACTTAATTGGCTTAAAGAAAATATGGACAATCACTTATATAAATTTAGGCTAGTCAAATAAGCTTATGTTATCTCTACTAGATGTTTGAGATTATAAAAATTGTAAATTCAACCTAAGAACAAAATGTACACTAAAAATGATTTGCTTACTATATGTCAACATGGCAGAAAAAAAGTTATATGTTTAACTCTTTAAGTTCTTTGTTTCTGTAATTTTTGCAACTTGTCTGGTGTGTCAACAAAAAAAATCACTTAAGGGCCGGCCGAGTGGCATGTTGGTTAAGACTTGGCTTGGGATGCCAGCTCTGTGCAGCAAGGCCCCAGTTTGGATCCCACGTGAGGGCCAGTGATGCTGCGCCCTCTACAGCTAAGATGGTGAACAACAGCTCGACCTGGAGCTGGGATGCTGTGAGTCACCGGCCACGGCATAGGCTGCAGTGGGGCTGGCAGGCAGCTGGCATGAGCTTTCGTGAGCTGCCATGAGCCACCGTGAGAGACCGTCCAATGGCCGGCGAGCGACTGCCTCACCCAGGAAGAGTGCAATGATGATGCCAACATGGGCCAGTGAAGCGACGTCCTCAACAGCTAGACTGAAAAGCAAAAAGGACAGCAACTTGTCTGTTCCCCTTCCCCGAATCCCCAACACTGTTCCCCTTCCCCTATTCCCCAATAAAAACCTTTTTAAAAAGAAAAAAGAAAAATCACTTAAAATGATGGTTAATTTTTAATGTCTCATGAAATTTTCATGGCAATTCAAGCACAATTGTTAAGAATGTGAATTTAATGGATGTAAGTGGGATAAAAGTTTATAAATGAGCTCTGCAACAATTATTATGGTTAATAAAATATACCTGCTTAAAAATAGTTTCCAAGGACCGGCCAAGTGGCTCAGTTGGTTAAGAGCTTGCTCAAGAGTTTGAGCTCTGAGCAACAGGGTCCCTGGGTTGATTCATGGCCCGAGCTGAGCTGCCGCTGAGTTGCCAACTGGTGGCAGGATGGCTCAGCTAAAAAAAAAAAAAAAAAAAAAATTTCCAAAATATTTTTGTAACTTTAACCTTAAATGACAATCATTCATTGAATACCTAGATCATTTCCAAATAGGAGAAAATACTGAAAAATTAATTGCTGACCATGCTTAAGTTTATCTATTTTTGGTTTTCTATTAAAGAGAAACTAAAGATATTTGTATCTGTTAATAACATGTTCTTTTTGCCACATTAAAGATTATACTATGGAGCTGGCCGAGTGGCGCATTGGTTAAGAGCTGGCTTGGGACGCCAGCTCTGTGCAGCAGGGCCCCGGTTCGGATCCTACATGAGGGCCAGTGACACTGCCCTCTACAGCTAAGATGGTGAACAACAGCTCGACCTGGAGCTGGGCTGCCGTGAGTCACTGGCCATGGCATAGGCTGCAGTGGGGCTGCAGTGGGCTGCCATAGCTACCGTGTGTGGCTGGCAGCCAGCGTGAGTGGCCGGCAGCTGGTGTGAGCTGCCAAGAGCTGCCATGAGCGGCCGTCCAGAGGCTGGCGACTGATCTGCCTCACCCAGGAAGAGCGCAATGTTAATGCCAACATGGGCCAGTGAAGCAACGTCCTCCACAACTAGACTGAAGAACAAAAGGACAGCAATTTGTCTGTTCCCCTCCCCCAATTCCCCAATAAAATCTTAAAAAAAAAAGGTTATACTATGAAAAGGTATATGTCTCTAGAAAT